CACCCCTCACCCCCAGGTTTGGGGGGCACAGGGGGTTCACTGGCTCTGTGCCCCCTCCTCAGAGCTTTGCCGCATCAATGAGGACCAGAAGGTGGCCCTTGACCTCGACCCCTATGTGAAGAAGCTGCTCAACGCCCGGCGCCGGGTGGTGCTGGTCAACAACATCCTGCAGAACGCCCAGGTGGGGCTCTGGGGGGCAAAGAGGGGTTGTGGGGGGTCCCAGAGCCCCCCTGGGCACTCACAGAGGGGGGTTTTCCTGCCCAGGAGCGGCTACGGAGGCTGAACCACAGCGTGGCCAAGGAGACCGTGCGGAGGAGGGCGATGCTGGAGGCTGGGGGCTACCAGGGCAAGTGAGAGCCAGGGGAGCAGGTATCCCCGGGATCACAGCCTTGGGAATTCGGGGGGTGTCCCTCCTCACCTGCCACACGGGGAGCAGGGACCTCCCCCCGAGTCGTGTGCCCGATTTGGGGGCGCTGGAATAAAAGTGACGCCGGAGTCCGTGATGGTGCCACGTCCCTGAGGGGTCTTGGGGACAGTGGGGAAAGCAGGGGTTGCCAGGGGGGGTCTGGGCACAAGCAGGGGGCGTTGGGCAGCCCCAGGGGGGTTTGGAGGCATTGGGCAGCCCCAAGGGGGTTTGGGAAGCCCACGGTGAAGTGAGGGCACCCCCCAGGTAGGGTTTGGGTGTCGCCAGGTGGGATTTGGGGTTTGGGCAGCCCCAGGTGGGATTTAGGTGTCCTCAGGTGGGATTTGGGGTTCAGACACCCCCCAGGTGGGTCCTTTCAACTTCTGGAACCTTCTCCTGCCACCCCACCAGCGTCATTCCCATCCATCCTGTGTGTCCCTGACCAACCAGGACTCACTGGAAAGGGGGAACACTTTAATGTGCAACTTATAAAACACGGACAGGGCCAAGTCAGAGGCCTTCTCCTGCCCCAGGTGTCCCTGTGCCCTCACTCCTGGGTCTCCATGCTCTCCTCCTCCTCTCCTGCTGCTGGCTCTTCCTGGTTTTCCTCTTCCTCCTCCCCTTCCTTCTTCTCTGGAGGTTTCTCGTAAGCCTTCTCCGAGGGTGTCACGATCACCCCGTCCCACGTGGACATCTCGGACGCCAGGTCTGCCCCAACAGGTGGCACTGGATTCCAGCCCCATTCCCACCTGGACACCCCCGGGATTCCAGCTCCATTCCCCCCTGAATGCCCCTGGGAGTCCAGCCCCATTCCCACCTGGACACTCCAGGGATTCCAGCCCCATTCCCACCCGGACACCCCTGGGATTCCAGCCCCATTCTCACAGGGACACCCCCACTCACAGCTGGCATCTCCCTCCTGTCCCAGGATTTTCCGGTAGCCCCCGTGGGACAGGATGCGGACGAGGGTCTGGGCCGTGTAACACACCATGTCCTGGGGGTGGGGAGGGGTCAGTGCAGGGACAGGGACCCCCTGAGCATCCCCTCCCCTGTGAGCACCCCTCCCCTGCGGGGATCTCCCTCACCTGCTGTTCCAGCGTCATCACCGTGTGCACCCGGAAGTTGCCGCTCTCGCAGGGATCCGTGATGCCCACAGATCCGGGCAGGAAGAGCCCAGCTGCCAGGATCTGGAGGCAGCGCCTGCACACAGGACATTTCAGGTTCAAACTGGAGCATTCCAGCAGAAATACAGCCAGCAGCTCCCAGCTGGAGGAGCTGGATTCATCTCTCAGGCACCGCTCCAGTGGTTTTACGGGGAAAACGGAGCCACAGCAGGAATTTATCCCCTGGGATTGACCTGTAGGCGATGTTGAGAGCCAGGGGCTGCCGGGTGGGGTTGTTCATCACGGCGTAGTGCCCCTGGAAAGGGAAGGGCAGAGGAATTAGGGCAGGAAGGGAAGAATCCCAGCTCAGGGGGAGAATCCCAAGCCCTACTGGGATTGGGATCAGCTCCACATCCATGTCCCCCACCAGCAGGTCCAGGATCCACGGCGTGAGCGGCTCAAAGCCGGGGAAGCGGATCCTCAGGTCCTTGAGCAGCCGGATCAGGACCTTCACCCTGGGGCAGAGGCAGGAGGAGGGTCAGTCCTGCACCACCAGCACCACTCCACATTCTCCATAGGGAGACCCATGATCCTTGGATCCATGATTCCCTTGGAACTCACGTGGACTGCGAGGCGTTCTCCTCGAACCACCGCGCGTGCCGGATGGCGGCCAGGGCACTCTGCAGCACCTTGATGTCCACTGCAAGAAGCACAAAGTCCCAGTTTTCCAACCCAAAGAGGCACAGGGAGGGCGCACCAGGCGCTCCCTCTGCCCCGGATCCCAGTGGGAAGCGCGGCCGGGCCCTCACGGTGCAGCTCCGGGTCCAGCTTGCGCAGGTTGGGTGGCACGGTGGTGATGAGGATCTTCACCGTGGCGTCGGCTGAGCTGATCTCAAAGCCCGTCTCGTTGGTCAGCATGGTCAGCACTGGGGGGGAAAACCGGGAATTCCACATGGAGGGGCTGGAAAACTCCTGGGAACACGGGAACTCAGCCTGCATCGCTCCAGAGGTCCCACCTTCGCTGGGGTCCTGAGCCCTCAGGCTCTCCACCACCTTGTTCCCCAAGGCTGCCACGGCTTCCACTGGGGAAAAGAAGGAAAAGGAGAAGGGTTGGAGCAGGGCTGGGAGTCGCTCCGATCCCACCTGATCCCAGCCAGCCAGCACTCACGGGTGGGCAGGATCTTCAGGATCACCACCAGATCCGCCACGTTGTGCCCTGTGGTCATCGTGCCCTTCTTGTAGGAGCCCACCTGGCGAACCTCCTCAATTTGCTGTGGGAAGGACAACCCCAAATCCCAGGAATTCAACACAGTGCAGCATTTTGGGGGCTCAGTATTTATCCTTAATCTGCCCTGGGCCAGGACCACCAGGGCCCTTGTGAGGGACCATCTCTCCAGGGCGCTCTTTTCCCAATCCCACCAGTCCATCATCTCCCCACGGAGCTCTTTTCCCAACTTTGGGCTCACCACTTCAAAGGTTCCGGGTGCCACGATTAAGTTGTCGATGACATTGTTGATCTTGGTCACCA